GTTAGTGTAGCTGAGCTTGCGGCTCAGCTTTGATCACATCATCAGGGAGGAGCTTCTGTAGCTGGTTGATAGCTTCCTTATGTACACTTGCACGTCAGGGGGAAGCATTGGAGCGTTACGAACATACCAGCAGACCCTGAAGCAAGCGACGTTTCACTTATGATCAGCGGCTTTGCTGTCGAAGCCGGATGCTTTCAACAGGGCCCAGAAGTCAAGCTTGGCTCCCTGACGGAAAGACGCAAGAAAGCCCGGCACTTGGACTTGCTGGCACTCATGGAGCAAACCTCTACATCTCCAGAAGATGCTCGTGCAAGCCCGCGTCGGTACAGAGCTTTCCTGGAAGCACGAATTCAAAAATCTGTTCCACATGGTGCAGAAGACTTGTGGCTGTCAGAAGACGTCCCGAAGTGCAGTCAAGTCACTTATTTTGATGCTCTAGTTCCAAAGCGGCAGATGCTCGAGCTTCAGCAGCGGTCCATTCCTGACACCTCAGAGCGTCGCACTGGACTTCTCGCTCGGAGTTCGAAGGCTTGGATCTTGCCCAGCCACTGCAGGGCAGCTTGCGCTGCATTGAGGAGCAGTGCAAGACGCAGAGACCTTTCCTCGTCCTCATCCGAGCGAAACTCACCTCAGCGTGACGGCCAAGCGGTCGATGTCCGCTTCTTGGCTTATCGTGTCGAGCCATGCTGCTGCCGAGCTGTAACTACAGTATTTCCTGAAAATACTGAGTCCTACTGGGTCGGCTGGCCTATGATCTGAAATTTCCAATGCCAAGAAAGAGGCGAGGCATGTCGGGTTCAACAAGGTCAGCAACTTTGAGACCTGCATGCCACACGGAACTTTTTATGATGGCTTGCCGACTCTTTCTTCAACGAGGGGACGCCTCTGTCTTTTCTGTCCTTGTCTGCTTTCTCGTTATGAATCTGGCGGAAGATCAAGCGCCATGTCAGTAGGACCTGACCCGCGAGATCACGGTGTCGCCTGCCCCGCGCAAGTCCCAGTGCAGCTGCCCGGCCTCTCTGCACTTGTCGATGATGTAAATTCCTTCGTCATACTTGTCTAGTGCGCCCCGGTGCTTCCCGTTTTTTAGGCGCACCTTGGCTTGGCAAGCCTGCTCAACGTTCCACACAAGTCTCGAACGACTTCGCCTAAACCATTGCAGCAGAATCATGATTGTGGCCTGGCGTGTCTCGGCTTTGCCGAAGTAGCAGAGCGATAGGACGGTGACACCATCTCGCCAGTCTTCTTCAGGCAAGGAACGTTACCCTCCTCTTTGCCTTGGGAAATCTGTGCATCACAAATCTCCGGTCGGAGGCTGCCCTCGAAGCAACTTACTTCTGAGTTTGAGGGCGAGAGACACATGCTGGCAGCCTGAAAAAGCACCACTGGCTTCGACTCCAACTTGTAAAGATCGAGCTTCTGCTCTGGGAACTCGTGCTCGGAGTCCTCAGACAGAGCCCCCGAGCCAAGAAAGAGGCTTGAAGCCTCCATGTCTGCTGAGCTGCCGCCATTGCCTTCGCATAGAGCATGCGAAATTGTCGAACAGAGGACCTGGAGCAAAAACGGGGCTTGCCAGAGTATGAAGTGCTAGGCGCGGCTGCACCAAGACTTCTACCGGTGTAGACCCAAAAGCCACATGCCCCAAACCGTGAAAGGCCACATAGTACTGCAAGCTCGACATACCCTTAAACCACGCGTGCAGCACCCCTTCAGGGTCCCAAGACCTCCCTTCGCTAGATGATATCCCCGGGCTCACAATGAGAAAGGAAGTACGGCACGTCGAGGCGATTTTGATTTCAACACTCGGGACCGTGGCGGGAGAGCGAAGAAGTCAAACGTCGTCACCCCTTCCACGAACGGCACGGCACCGTGAAGATTGCCAGAGACTGAGGACCCTTCAGAGGGGGAAGGGCGAACGGGGCCTGCAAGAGGTCAAGGCGAGAGTGCGATTTTGGCTCCGAAATCAGAGATGTGCGGCTGTGCTGTGCCATATAATCGTGCACGCCGTCCGCCATCAGTGACCAAAAGAAGCAACTCCAGTTTTACATTGGTTGCAGATTCACACGTGGCGTGCGGGTGCTCAGCAAAGTGGCTTGAACTCCTCCCAAGGCTGCGCCGGCGGGAGCTCCACTCGTCTCATGCGGGCATCGAAGGGATGGACCCTGCAGGACGAGAGCTTCGATACAGTCTACAGCGACTCCAGCCGACGAGGTCAGACCGAAGTAACTGAGGGCAGGGCCTGAGGACTTGGCAGCGGTTCTTACAGCATGACAGGCTCTGAATGTAGTTGTAGACCCGGGGAACGCGCCAATCGGGCCTTAGCTTAGAGCTTGCAGGAAACCAGCAGGGATCTGCTACAAGAAACATGTGCTACCTGTATCTACCTGTAAGAGGTTGCAAGGATGCAGACACGGGTAGGTAAGTTTGTTATGATTTGTTGACTTCAAGAGCTTCTCTCGCCTTTGAGGCTGCCTTGCGGACAGTTCGTATAATTTGCCACATCGTACAACAGTTTTAGAAGCATTCCCCAGCCACCTGCATGGTTGCGAGGCTTCCTGGCATGTTCCTCTCCTTTGCTCTTCCCCACTCCCTCCTCCAAATCTCGGGTTCAACTAAGGTAGGACAAACCGGAAGCGCGAAGAGCAAAACGGCACAACGTGAGGTGTAGAAGCCACTGAGGGGAAAGCAACGACAGTCACGCTCTCAACTTCAGTCGTTCGTTCTGCCTGCCGCCCACCTATCTCAGACACTGACCTTTGCGGCAGGCCTCTTCGGGGTGATCTGCTCTTCAAGTGATTCCACACCGAGTGTGTCTGCGTCCGTGCGCGTCTGCCTGTCTGCCACCGCTTGCCTGTGTGCAGCGTCTCCCGGTCGCTCTGTCTCGTTGCCTGTGTCCCTGCCTCTCTCCATGTCTCCTGACTTTTGTGTTTGGGGTCCTGGGCCGCAGGACTGCCCGATACTGCCCGCTTCGTGCGAGTTTTTCGGCAGCGGTCAGAACTCTGCAGGCTTTTGACACAGCTTTCATTCTCTCATTTTTCTTCTCGCCCGCAGCCACACGCAGAGTAGAATCGTCCCCGTCCTGGTACCCTCGGGAGGCAGTCCGCAGTCCAATGGAATACAGACTCCGACAATGCATGACTCTCCGGCGCTGTCTCTCCCTCTACACGTGATCGGCAACATGCGGCCCTTCGACCTACGTGTCGGCTTGCTGTTTGCAACGTCACAGCGGGAAAGGCTGCAACTGGAGTGGCCACAGTTGCAGGCATCGGCCATGCATGTTTTGCCGTCAAGCTTCCCGTAGTGGTCTTCTAGTGGCTTGGCAGGCATGGTGTACGTCATGACCTTTTCGAACTCCACGGGCTGTGGCGCAAACAAACCTGCATCCAGTTCCACAGTATCTCTGCAACTCATCGTGGCACTCGCATCTCGCGACCAGGGAGCTGTAGCGCCAACCTGAGAACTCAACACCCTGCATCGAAAATCGCAAGGCGATAGTGCCAGGCCTGATGAGGTCTCCGCACCACCATCCGCAAAGTCCCAGAGCTGCCCAAACTGCATCGTAAAGACCTCAGAGCGACATGCCAGGCCAAGGACACAAGATGACACCTTTGCGACCCAGGGACCATCATGTCAAAACGAACGAAGCTTTCCCGGTGCGTAAACTTGTACAAGATGGGGAAGGCCATGTCATCGGACCAGCCCTCAACAGGTAAAAGCTCCAGCTCTCGATGCAAGCTCGAAGTCAAAGGCAATCTAGCCTCCGCGATGTAGTATCTCGGACAAACGACCACGGCCTTTACACGCACGTCGCCAAACCCTCATAACTGGCAACCAACATTGGAAGTTCTGGCCTGGTTCTGCTGAACATTATTGCCAGCTGATGCCTGTGTCACTTTCGGCATGCAGCCAAGCGAGTTTCGAGCGTTTGAAAGCAGGCCTGCAGCGGGTTGTCGACGATTTCTTGTACAGGCTCGAACCCAAACCTGGCGCGAAGCTTTGCACGTCTGCACCTTGCAGTTGGACTTCCACCATGATACAAACAATTGGCCTGTCAAACGTTGATTTCAGCAAGCTGTCACGCTCCTTGGCTGTACCTGCGTGCACGGAGCATGAATGCTTTGGCAAATGCTAGAAAATAACTGCAAAAGCTTAAGTTGGTCTGCTGAGTGGCATTCTGTGCACTGGCGCTGCAGTGCTGCAAGATCCCAAGAATAGATGCCCACATGAATGTCATCTTCATACCTGACATTGCTCTGTGTTCGTGGTGGTTTGAGCTTTTCCTGGTGACTTTGAATGTCTGAGCGGCGGCTGGAACTGGCCCTCGCGCAAGGCAGCCAGAGCAGATCCGTAGGCGAGGAAGTAGGGCAGTCGCAAGTCCTGATGAACTGGAACTGGAACTGGCCCCTGGTCCCTGGCTCTTCCAAGCCAAGCAGAGGACCGGTCCTCCAAAGCAGCCTTTCCTGCCTTGAACGCATCCATCATGCCTGGAAACAGGCAGAGTCTCTCTTGTAGATCCCACCAGCAGCAGTTGCTAGGTGTGCCACGCTCTCGCTTGAGCTTCAGCTCAGTGTTTGTCATGCGAAACCTCGGTCAGAGCTCTTTTCTCTGCAGTGATGTTTGCAAGCGAAGGCACCCAAAGGATCACGGCTTGCGCGCACAAGTGCCCATTTCCGACCAGCAGCTTCTTCATCGGCATCGTTGAAACTTGATGACAGGTGCTTCGATGTGCCAAGGCCGCACGGATTCAAGCCAGTGCAGTATTCGAGCTGTAGGTGAGTTGGTTGGCTTCCGAAACGCTTGAACGAGCGCTATGGTTCTCCAGTACTAGTACTTACTCGATAACTTGAATTCCGTTGCAACCAACAAAAAAGTTGTGGTGGGGCAACTAGGCAGGAAGGTTCGCTTCACTGCATGGAACATTGCATGGACCACTATAAAGCTGCGACATACAGTTGAGTTCACGAAGTCGTGTGCACCTCTTGTGCGGCCCATGCATGCACCTCGTCCGGAACAGTGCCAGGAGGCACAGGCCCATCGTGCGGAAGATGGCGAAGCTCCTCGACCGTGAGGCCAACCTGCATCTTGACGGAACCATCATCGAAATCGAAGTGGGCAACACAAACTTGCCTTCTGCAGTAGGCCCATTTCACGCCACAGCCCAGACCTTTCTTGGAGAGTACACTGCCATGATGGGAAGAACATGTAGGAGAGCACCCATGTGGGAAGCTTAAGCAACCATGCTGAGTGACTAGCATGAACCAGCGACCCGTGTGCCCATTGCCATGGAGCACGATCCTCAGCAGCAGGGCCTCAATGCTGGGGCCTTCGCGTTCACGCAAAGGTTCTGGGCTTCATGCGGTTGCTGACCAGTTTGGGTGTTCCGCAGTCTCGGGAGTCGCTGTCCTTCTTTCGCCGCTTCAAGCTGCCACCTTTCTTTGGATTCAAACGCCCTGTCCCATTTTGAGCTTTGGCCCGAGAACCCTTGAAGCATGCCGGCATTGCTGTGGCTCTGCCTCATAAAGACATTGGAAGATGCGACACTCGGAGTCCACGAAGTAGGGGAGACTGCACAGTTAGAGCTTGGTTCTCGAGGTGAAAACGGCTATCAACCCATGTCCAGGCCTTTGTCCACTCTCACCTCAGGCAAGTCTTGGCGCGAGATGGCGCGAGCTGCGCAGTCCGGAACATATGACTAGCTGCTTCCCGTGGCAATGCGGTGAACTCATTAGAACATGCTTCTTGCTCCTCTTCTTGCTCGGGAGCTCGTATTTCAAACGCATCTGCGCATCCATTGTCTATGACCAAGCACCAAGCATGAAGAACAACGCTTAGCATTTAAGTCAATGAAGGTTCCAGTGGCTCTCGCTCCTCAACCTGAGCCTGAGCACCGAACCTCGCTCCAGGAGATGTTCATGCAACCTTCCCTGTCGCTGCAGTCTTGAAGCATTCTGTGGCAATGCCGACAGACGCATGTGGGTCCTGATCATCTCCATCTTCCGGGAAGGTGTCTTTATGCTTCAGCAGTTCTTTGATGAGCTCGAGCACTGGCTCTGCCTCAACCACTTGCAGTCAAACAAAGCATCTTCGAACTCAAGCCAAGGCCACGGCTCTGCCTGCCATACAGCCTTCCAGAGCCAAAGCGCCCCGCAGCTCCCACGGTGTCTTGCTTGTTGTTTCACAAAACATCGAAATCGAGTTCGCCTGCGTTCGGATAACGCCATGGTGTCCCGGGGTCAGGATAGACTGCGTCGATGCGGTTCGCCTTTCACGGAGGCACAGGAATCAGAGCCTCGTGCTGTCGTCCATTCTACTGGTACCAGGATTGAGGACAAAATAAGGCACTTCGTGCAAGACGAAATGGCGAAGATGGCAGAGTGAAGATGACCATGATGTCGTCATCAAGGTTGGGCTACGGCCATGGATGCTTTTTCCTCAGAACGGATGAGACCATGCAGGTCATCTTGGTTGGGCCGAGGATGCTCTCTGCTCAGAGCGGATCAGACCACGGACGTCATCATGCGTGCTGTGCTCCAGAAAAACCAGAAAGACCCCTTCTTCGGGGTGCATGAACAGCAATCTCAACAAAGGAGGCCGCCTTGAAAAAATCAGGTCCGCATATTCTCTCACCTTGGCAATGTGAGAAGAATTCCCAGGCCCTATTGCGCATGATATCATTCTAGTTCCAAGGCGTCAGTGAGCAAACGAGCCTGCATACCATGGCTGGTGACCCTCACTGAAGGGAGGCGATGACATTTTCTGAATGAACCTGCCGCCATGAAGCCGGCACTCGTCTCACAACATGAGAAGCTTCATCGAACTGTCAAGCGAGCCGGCTTAGCTCAGAAGCGGGTCCGATCAGCATACCTTGCAATGCAAAGCGCAGCCAGCTTGCTCCAGTCAGGGCCAACAGGGAGCGACGACCACCGCTGTGCTTTGGATGGGACCGACGCGAGCACAAACCAACAGACAGTGGAAGCGAAATTCAACACTATTCGACTCAGCGATGAGCGAAGACTGGATCACGTCCTTCGGGCTGCGAACAAGTTCCCCAAAAAACATGCATAAATGAGCCCCAAACAGCTCTTAAGTCTTGTTGAGTTCCAAACGTGTCTTCAAAGTAATTAAGCTTCAAATCAATCCTTCTCCGCCAGCTGAGCAAGCCACAATCCCAGCCGTCGATCAACAGCACAGGATCCGTCGCTGCCTTTGCTCTCCGGTTACAAAAAATCGAAGGGAAGAGGCGGATGTCAAGGCGAGAGCAATCCGTCCTCCTGCCAAGCCTTTCTCCAGCGCCTAGGCACGCGGACTATGCCTCGACAGCTTCAGTGCTGTAAGCTCTGCACCTTCCGGTACTGAACCAGCTTCGTCCCCCAGCCGACCCAGCGTTCCTGTTGTGGTCAATCTGGCGCAACTCCAATGCACCAAGGGAAGCCAACACAAGCAAGCGCAGCCCGGAAGCCGCAGAATTGAAACCTGGAACTTCGAGCAAGGTATGTAGCTTCAGTGCTGTTGACTCACCAGGTCGTCGTATGAGGTGCAATTACATGATTTTGGCTGAAGCATACACAGCTTTGCCGCGATCCACGCCTGTATCCCAGGAGTCGAGCAGATCGCTGCAGGATGACTGCCTACGGAGGGAAACTCTGACAAAGCTTGGTACACTATGCTGTGCACACGCCCTGGCATGATCGAGCCTCTTGTCGGTACTCGGTAGCAATGGAGAGGACATGTGCTGTTTCACCTGCCTGTCGAAACCGATCGCAGGAAGCATAAGTCACACTGACAATCCATACGGTGCAAGCCGGTAACCAGGCCCGCGCAGGATGTCTCTGGCTCGCATGGACAGCACCTCTGGCTTCTCTCGCCCAAAACTCAGATAGCCCATCTCCCAAGAAAGCGCTTAGAGCGCAACAGTTGCCCGATCTGCTCGGAGCCATCATAGCCTTACAAAATCGCAGGCAACCCAGACCACAAGCACACCTCGACTTGCCTAGGCCACCTTGGTGCCAAATTCTTTCATGCTGAGCGAGAGCGAAGCTAGTCAGTCGAGCCTAGGCGGCTCGGAGACACTCCTGCACTAGAAGCGCCGTGATTGAAGCCACTATTGTTGCCACTTGGTCACAGCTGGTCGCTGCAGGTCCGCAGTCTCCATATCGCGAGCAAAGGCCCGAGCAGTTGTTGGCCGAGCCTCCTCCGCCTACATCTTCGATGTCCCGAGGCTGAGAGAACCATCGGGCGCGATCACCTGAAAGCTGTCGGCGTCATAATCAGCTTTGTACTCGCACCGTCGATACTCGTCATCATCCCAAGGTTTGTCAGGTCTCCTCTGCACGCGATCCTGGTATATAGCCTGAACCAGACGGAGGCGCCTCACGTACCTTTCATGGTCTTCTGTCGCCATTCCGGCTTCTTTGAGAAGACCTGTCATGTAGTCCCACGATTGCCCAGACAGGAAATGCAAGTTTTGGCTGCTCTCCACTGCTTCGAAGCACGCATCCACCCACTGCAAACGTTCGCGTTCAAGTGTCCACGGGGCACTGAGGTGCGATGCTGCAAAATAGGACTGAGCCTCGAACAGTGGAACTGGACAGGGCACTGCAAGCGGAATGCCTATAAATGAAAGGCTCGGCCGGCGTGCATGAATAACGTGCTGGTACAGCGGGGCTACATACCTTTTCTCAGATCCAAAGGTCAACCCCGCGTCTTTCTCGTCGAGGAAAGGATACTGGTATGTGTATCCGGTCGCCAGGATGATGGTGTCCACTGGAGCTCCGGAGAGCGCGGCCCCCTCTACCATGACAAGCCCGCCTTCTGACAACCAGGCTCCAAATGGAACATGGAAGCACGTTCCGATCACTTCTGCTTCCCGGCAGCCCTTGTCCAGCACGTAAAGCGATGAAACCCTGCTGCGCAACTCCCGAGCTATGTCGACTGCTGAGGATCGTCCGCCGACAATCAACACCGACTCGCCTTTAAATGCGTCCGGGTCATCATAAGAGATCGCGTGCACTACTCTTCGATGGCCTGCTCCTGCAAGCCATTCACTTTGTCCAGGAATTTCTGGTGCATATGGGAACTCGTAGTGGCCTGTGGCTACGACCACAGCATCGAAGACTTCGGTGCTGGTGGTCGAATCCGGATTCTCCCAGGTCAACTCCCAGGCACCTTGGCCTTGGTCGAGCTCTTCTTCGATTGACCTCATGGGTACCACCGCCTTCACGGTTGTGCTGAACCGCACGAACCGTCTCAGGCTGAAGTGGTCTGTGTACAGTTTCAAATAATTCCCCAACTCGGGACCCGTGATGTAGCTGGTGAGGCCCTTGGGAAAGTCCAGATCGAAGGACTGCATGCACATGGTGGGAATGTTGGTCACTAGGCCACGATACACCACACGGTTTTTGGGCCGTGGCGCCCATATTCCACCACTCTCATCTGCAGCTTCGAACACCACCGGAGTGTGGCCGAACTCATCGAGATACCTGCTCGCTGTCATACCCGCAGGGCCACCTCCGACCACAGCCACTTTCTGACGCCGTTTCTTCTCGGCCAATCCAGACATCGCGGCGCAAGCCAGCAGGCTGTACCTCTGATCCCTGCGATCTCGAACTGGCAACTTGCTGGTCAGCCGACGGCTAAGCGGGCTGAGCGCTGAAGGACCGATGCGGAAGGCCCCGCGCTTCGTTACGACGGCAACTCCCGCGCAAAAGCAGCTTGTGGGGACTGACACGGATGACATGCAGCTACCACCCAGTGGCTACATTTGCTACGTGCTGTTGTTCCGAAGCAAAGCCTCTTACGAGCGTTCACCGACGCTAATGCAGCTGAAGTTCCTATAAAATGCGATGAATGCAACTTTGCCTGGCATTACCTGGCCGTACCCGCCTTGGGCCGAGCTCTGCGAAGGACCGTCCGTTGCACTTAGCTTGCCTTTTTTGGTTCAGCTCTCAGCTCCAGGCTGACCGGCAGCCTGGCACCCAGTAGCAGCTCACAGCATGTGCTACTTCCATAGCCGGCAACTCGGACATCTTGCAGGGAGGGGGAGGCTCAGAGGAATGGGCACTGTAAATCATGCGATGTAATTCCTCGCCAGACACCTTGGAGGAAACTGCGGCCCGGACCCCATGCTCGTGGCAGGCTGTGCCGGTAGAGCATACCAAAGAGCAAAGGAAGTCCTGCCAATGCACTTGACACGGTACAAAGAAAGCTCCCGGGCCCAAGTCCTGCTCTTCGCTGCCGCCGCGATAGGCAGAATATGTGCACCATGCTTTAACCATCTGGTGAATGCAATAATGAAGGGTCTGCAGTTGCACGTGCGTCAACCATTGGATTGGCAGGACCATGGCATGTGCATCCATAGCCACACTGCGCGTTTTCGGGTGAGGACTTGTAGTGGCGGCTACCGGCTACCGCATCGTGCAGAGGCAAGTGCACGGCTCTAGGCTTAAGTAAGCTTCTGTGTGCACTCGCCGCCTTAAGCTGATAGCTTTCCGGGCAAGCAAATTTTCCTTTCATGCCCCACTCTGCTTGTCTCCGACTACAACTTCCATGGCGCATCCAACGACGTGTAAAAAGTCAACACGCAACATCTGCACTGTAACAATTCTCCGCCTTTCATCGCAGACGTGTTCTCGCTATCGCACTCTGTAAAGAGTAAGAGCTATTGGCAATGCCTTTCACAGTTGCCAGTGTATTGACAAAGCACGTCAACCTCAAGAAAATTGATTTCAGTTACAAACTTCCTTCGCCTTCCAAAGGCATTTGCCGGTGACGAAAACCATGAGACGCGAAGCGAAACGAAGTGTGAAAGACTGCCCTACTAAAACTTGACAGACGTCGTGAATGCTGCAGATATGCAAGCTGCAGTGCGAAAACTCGGGTCTTTGAACATTCAAGATGCAGTGAGAAATAGTGAGAAACACCGAGATGCGTCGCCGCGCACTCCCGGCGTGAGACGCGCTAGCAAGTCTGGCAAACCCAACACCGCCGGCGAAAGATGCTGGGCGGGTGCAAAGGCAAGGCGTTTGTGTGTTTGAGTTTGACCCATGGATTACCCCAGTTCGGAAACGCAACGAAAGCAAGGCCGCTGCGGTGAGGGATCATGCAGGCACTTATTTCGGTTGGAACATGTTGCGGATAAGTATTCTGTGTGCAGGATCCATGTTCAGGCTGCAGCCCGTATAGGCCACGAGCTCACATATCGGAGCCCCAACACGTAGCAGCCAGCCAGACATCCCGCCGACACACCGGTTGCGGGCTGACAATAATTTCGGCTAGGGTTAACGACACTTTGCCAAGAACTTTTGGCAGAGCCTGAAGGTTCTTCACTTTAAACTCTTCATAAAAGAATGTGGTATATGCCCATGACACTTCGAAAGGTCAGCCACTTCAAGCCTGAGAAGATAACTACTCGACTTTTGCTATTGCCGTTACTAGCTGAACCCAGAAATGACTATGCAGTATTCAAGATCAAGAATCTAGAAAAAAATTTGGGCTAACCCTACTGAAATACGATTTTAAGGCGCTGTATTGCATGCTAATCCGATTCCAAGAAACCCTTGTTGCTCAATGCCATCAAACCTTGGCAGAAAACAGGCTGCAACGAGTTGATTCACAACCTCTACCTGATTGCATGCTCTCGGTCTCAGAAGGATCAGAGAAAACAAAGGCACGGATCCGTGCTACGACCCGAACAAAACGCAACATCTTTTCGAGCTTCTCTGCGTTCTCAGGCGGGTCTTCGGGACGCCCTTCTGTCACTAGTGGCAAAGTCCATCTCTGCAAGTCATTCATGCATCAGGCTTGTAGTGATTGAGTAGAACCATGTAGCGGGACTTGGTACCTGGTAGGAAATACCGCAGCGAGCCGCGTTTTGCAGCTCGAGATCTGCGCGGTGACTGTACAATAGCTGTCTCAGGCCCTCGCCTGCATGACAAGAGCACATGCCCCTTGCAGAACCATGCAATTGTTTAGCACTGCAACAGAGTAGTTTTCATCACTTTTGAGCTCATTGCTGTTCCCACCGAATATGACATAGCCAGCAATTGCCTCCTTTCAGCGTAGGCCTTGAAACTTGGATTTTACCTGCATGAAAGCGCTTCAGGTTCCATGGGAACGTGCAAGTCTGACCGTCGAAAATCGATCTACAGCAACCGAACATGCCTTGCTGCTGCTTCGAGGACCTTGCTTGAGCGTTGTGAAGCAAGGAGCTGGAGTGCTGCATCGACGACGAGTTGCTCAACGCATCGGTTGCCACGAAGCTGGTCTTCCCTTGGCCACCATCCTGGCATCACATCCATGCTGCCACTGCGCAAGCCAGAAACCAACGGACACTGTAGCAGGATGCAGACTCTTCACCACACTGCAAAAGCTAGAGAGCCTGGGTTGACACATCGATCTGGCACAAGGCACCGTCAATGTTGCTGGCAACCTGCAGCGTCGAGCGTCAAAGAGATGCTGCACGCTTGGAGTTTGTGTGTTCCTCCAGTTTCTGGCTTCCTATAGGAGGTCTGTTGTTGGGCAACCTCTCGAGGTCTCTTCATCTTCGTTGCGGCCGCTTTACGCTACTTACTCGATTCTACATTGACTCCGCTCGGGACCCAGGGCACTGGCTGGCAGAAGATTTGGCTTGACATACAGCTTGCTTTATTGTCCGTGCTCCCACATTGCCTAGTCTTCACGCACATTGAATGTCGAAGGGCTCGCAGAATTCAAAAAGAAAAGCTCTTCCGGCAAAGGTCCGGGACGTGTGGACAATCTAAGAGCGTGAGTGCGCTGGAATGATTGAAGAAAGTGTCATACAAAGCAAGCTTGCATAAGCTTGCAAACGCCAAGGATAATCCCGACCGGCGGATTGATTGTGGAAGAGTGGCTTGTCAAGAAGATTCACAAGTCTTGTAGCAGCAGAAGATACAACACGACACAGTTCACGCAAAATGTTGCGCTGCAAGACGCGAAGATGACTCTCACAAGCCTGTCCGTAACTGACTTTGACTTTCGACTAGTGGTGCCATATTGCTGGTGTAAAAATCATCTGAGCTTAAGGTGCAGGTACGAATGCTATTTGAGACAAGCTTCCAAAAGCCCCCACAAAAACGTCCACCACCCACTGTCCTATCTTCTAACCTGCAAGCGAACCTGTAGATATCAATGAATGCACATGAACTGTCGCAAAGGAATTGTCTGATGCTGCATGCCAGGGGTACACCGTCCATGAGCTGCGAGATGCCAAACGAGCCTATGAAAAATGACGAGGAGCTATGCACATGCCACGTCCGGGCACAAGCTGAGTGGCGAGCTGAGCAAGTTCATGGAGAGAGACAAGGACTCCAAAGCAGACGTAGGCTGAGCAAGCACCTGATGCTCGAAAGTAGCCGTGGCTACGACAGCTGCATGGAGAACAGAGGCTGCCACCAAAGACACTGCAGGAGCGGAGTCATCCGTAATGGAGTTGCAGGACAAATCCAGAGATGTCAATACCTTCACACTTACACACACGAGCATGCCCGATGGCTCGCCTTCGGAGGCGCAATCTCCAATTGCAGGGAAGGCTCCTGGTAGTCACGGGCTGCGGCCATCAGAGCTTGGCATCCAGCCTGCATGACGGGTGCACGGCGGGTCGCCGCGGCTTTGACGTGGAAACTGAGATGCAAACGTCTCCGATGCTGCAAGCGGCCAAGCTGAGCGTCTTGAGGCCCCTCCCGGCAAGCCTCCCGCTGTACAGGGCAAAGAGGCACGACGGATTAATCAGAGGAAAATCTCAGGTTGCGGCGGCCAGCTGTCAGGATTGAGTGCTTCGGCGAGTGCCTCTGCGTCATGGAAACACTGGAACTGGACTGAATCGTATTGTGCAGTCGCGGCAAGCATGTTATTCCTGAATCATAACCATGTCATCTCGCAGCGAATTTGAGACGTGATCAGTGGTGTGATCTGTCTGAGAGTCTTGGTCACAGCATTAGCCGCATAGCCGTCAAAGGCTGGAAGCCCGGTGGAATTTGGACCCAGGGCGAAGGCGGCCCAAGGCAAGGGACCCTTGCCATCCGAAAGGGCAAGGGGAAGGGCCCCGAGCATCGCCCAGCTGGTGGCAGGGGCAGAACACCGGTTTCATGGTCATAGAGTCATAGGTGGGGCTTCGTAACCCCATCAACCAATTGAGCTAAATAGTGCTCGCTGAGTCCTGCATTCTGTCTTGCCTCTGTAAGCTTTTCTATGCACAAGTCGCACGTGTAAGTATAGGCTCTGCCTCTCTGCCGTACAACGTGCTCCATAGCATGATCTGCCTAGCCGGAGTTCATGGATTCTGTGCCCAGGGCATCGCAGAGCATGCGTATCGAATGTCACTCATCTCACGCATTGCTGACTGACGCAGCACTACCAACAACACTTTGCAAAGCGCACGGGTCCGTTCTGCTTCCTTCTTCGGGCACGCAATTGCCGACTGCTTGTCCTTCCGAACACCTTTGGCCACCAACTGCAGAAGTCTTGAAATTCGCAGAGTTTTTGGAAACTCTTTCACATGCAAATTTTGACTGTGGTTCACCTGGGCTAAGAGGATCTGAATAGTTGGAGCGATTCTTTGATTGGCAGCTTGTCCAAGCATGTAAGGGTTTTCTCGTAATGCTTGCGCGACCGATGCGTGCATTTAGAGTCATTTGGAGGTTGTATTTTTTTTTGGATCTGGTGTCTTCCCGCCAAAAATGCTGCTGAGGTCATGTGTCATGAGGCACACAAGGAAGGCTTAGCTTCGGCCACAGGTGTCTACGCGGGAAAGACAGAAGCGGAGTGGCCTGGGCTCCGGCGTCCCCTAGCATCGGGTTGTGGTAAAGCAGGAGCTCCTCGAAGACACTTCCGGCGTCCCCCAGGGCATCTGCCCTCGCTGTGCAGAAGAAGGCCTCGAGGGCATTGAAGAAGGGCAGCACGGGGGCAATCCTGCGTCACAGGCCCGCAACACATTTTTTCAGCTTTCCCTTCGTCGGCCAATTGGCCACGATTGGCCTCGAGACTGCTGTAGCAGTGATCTCGTTGTTTGCCAGGTTCTCGGTACCAGACGACGGCATGGAACACTATCTCACCGTCTGATTGCTCCAGCCGACATCTGACACATCTGATCTGAGAGCTCCGACCAATTGCCGCAAGCAGTTGTTCCACCCGCGATTTGGAGGTTCTGCCTGCGCTGTGCCGAGTGTTGTGACAAGCAGACGGCCTTGTTCTCGGGTTGAGGATTCGACCATTACTTTCTCAGAGATGAATCGTTTGCTACAAGTATTTACAAACTCAGAAAAAACTGTATGACCACAGACTCCGCCTCCGAGTCAATGGGGCTAGCCTCAGATCAAGCTCACAGCCCAAGCTAGACCCGGCAAAAAAAGAACCACATCAAATTTCTAAGGCTTGCTCTGTCCGACGCATGGCACCAGCCTCACATTCACTGTGCAATGCACAACCCACCGTGAGGGCGCGAGGTCCCTCAAACTGAACTCCCGCACACCCACCAGGGCACATGCACTCACACATGCCACGCACACGCACACACGCACACACACACACATACACACACACACACAGCAAACTCTTACTTGCGCAATCCTCCCTCTGACAGCTTCCGGTAGCTTTCCAAAGGTGCAGAGGCACAGCTACACAGGCACAAATGTTGCTGATTATCTACAGCAGCAGACACTTCACGTGAATGGAAAGCAACTCGATCATGCATGCAGGGTCGTGTAATCCGAGCTGTAACAACTATGGCCCAAGGACGTACACCCAAGCTGTTCATAGGCCCATTAGCATTCTCAGCAGCCCTCGTACGTTTCGCCGCGATCAAGAACTGTCTTCGTTGGTACGGAAGCTGTTGATCTCACCTGCCCACCCTGTCAACACAACCTCAGAACCGATACGCTTTGGTAACAAGGTTGGACCACGTAAACAATGTTCGAGAAAGGAGCACAGGCTTGCACATGATGTGGCGCTGCCATCATTTCTGGCTTACCCCACCTATCCTGACCCGCGGGTTTTGCTTGTTTTCGCCGACTTCCAGTCAGAACGCCGTCCGAACACCTCCTGCAGAGAATCTGTTGCCGCAGAGCATCCATGATCGAACCATGATACCGTCCACGCAGACCCCATTCGTTTCGGGAGAGCACAGAGCACCCATGATCGAACCATGATAACATCCACCCAGACCCCTTTCGTTGCCGCAGAGCATCCAGTATCGAACCATGATAAACTACTAATGATTACTAATGTGACTCATATGCCACGAATACGACAACTGCTCCGGACGTAAACGGACTTTTTCGCCCCTCGCTTCTGATCATCACCCTCATCATCCTGCAATAACTAAATCTGACGAAGTTGGTCCGATGCAGTTTTAGCAGCAATCTCAGACATTCGCTGAGGCTCCTATCAATACTAATGTGATTCATATTCCACGAACACGACAGCTGCACAGGAGGTAGACGGACTGTTGAATTTTCTCTTCTAAGCACACAGAACTCTGAGCAGAGCACTAAGCTCTCTCCATCCGGATCAACAAAATCGTCACATGCTAATCCCTGACAACCATTCCAGAATCGAAGCATAACTGCAAAAGCCTGTCTTTGCGAGGCAAACAGTCTCAGCGACAGTGATGATGTCAGCAAACGCATTTGCAAAATCATTCCAGCAGATGAAGCCTGTAAGACCACAAAATGCTGATTTTACTGGAAAACCGTGTATCCGAGCGTGATGTTCTCAGCACTACAAGTTCCAAAACCTTCTGGCCTATGCGTTGCTGCGTGCACAACACAACATGTGAAATTCCTAAGAAACACATTTTACTGCCAAAAAACACCACACTTTTAGAGCATACAGAAAAACAGCCACATGTCCTGAGCCGTATGACAAACAACACACCATGTCAAGATGTCAGTGTTGTCCCGAAATCCGAAACACAGAAAACCAAGCCAAGAACCGTGGGGATGGAAAAACTGCATCAGAGCACGCAAGTCTGCAAAACCTGTTTTTTGCGAGGGAACCAAACTCTCCGACAATGAAAAACAACTCCGAAAAAGAAACTGCTTGCATGCTGCTGCCTCTCCATGCGTCAGCGCGGGTCAGGATAGGTGCCGTTACCTTGTTTGACCGTTCCATTGGAAAATGTCCTCCCACATGGCGTCGCCTACATTGGGCACGTCCAGTCGGCATCGACACTGGTTTTGGGCAGCTGCAGCCCTGCAGCGTTTTGCAGCGCTTTTTGCAAGATGTAGGGCGTAAAGGACGGCTCCCCTTTGGAAGTTCCAGTTCTCATCTGAGACACTGGAGCGAACGATATAGGATTTGGAAAGAAACCGTGCCAGGTACATCTTTGGGCCCAAGAGGCTTTCTTGCTGGGCACAGGATGTCTGTGCCCGCCATACCTGAATCCTGCAATGTGCACGTGCGCACTGGCCGAAAAGGGCCGAAGTTTGTGGCTTGGATCGGCTCACACGCATGCAAAGTTGGGTAATCCCAAGTGTAACAATCAATTGTGCAAGGAGGTACCTTTGGGAACCCCGGGCTGTTCACGAGCCCACGAGCATTCCAAAATCTCAGCCCAGGTACGTTTCAGTGACATTAACACCCGGGCGTTGATCTAAATGATTATATCCCCGAATGACCTTCTTCACGAAACTTTCTTTAGCAGAACTTTCACCCTAACTTTAGCGCGCCGCGCGAAGGGGACACGTATTCAAGTACAGTATAAAAAATTCATTCAAGGGATCTAGTTTTGGCGGTTTTGGGTGCATTATAGACATAGGGTTTTTTTTTTGAACGCCTTTTTCCGCCTGTTGGAGCATCCCTCAGTTGGAATCCGCTGCGCGGAAGGCTAGCTAGTCTGGCATCGTAAAGCCCTGTGCCCTGATCAGTTCATTAGGGTTTAGGGTTCAAGGTTCGGTGCGTAGGGTGCGGGGCTAAGGTTGAGGCCGGTTAAGGGTTCGGGCGAACATGAAGCGTGCCTACAAGGTCCATGCTCCCAGCTGTATTGCTAGTGCTAGTACTAATGCAAATGCTGGCGCCAGCTGTGGTATGTGGCACGAGTAGCCGCAAAGAAATAGCAATGGCACGTTGCCTTGACATGGCAAGCTCGCCTTTTGCAGGACTTTCGCGGAACTTGCAAGGATCTTTCATGCTACATGCACTAGCTCGTACTAATAATTATTAGCACTAGTACTAGTACTAGTAGTCGTCGTCGTCCTCGTCGTCGTCGTCGTAGTAGTAGTAGCAGCAAGAGTAGCAGTAACAGTAGCAATAGCAGGAGTAGTACTGGTACAAGTACCAGAAGTAGTACTAGCAGCACTAGTAGCAGTAGTACTATTAGTAGTAGCATTACTATTAATTATTGCTATTAATGGTAGTAGTAGTAGTAGTAGTAGTAGTAGTAGTAGTGGTAGTAGTGGTAGGAGTGGTGGTAGCAGCAGTAGTAGTGGTAGTAGTAGTAGTAGTAGTAGTAGTAGTAGTAGTGGTAGCACTGTTAGTAGTGGTGGTGGTAGTAGCTGTAGTAGTAGTAGTAGTAGTAGGAGTGGTACTAGTACTAGTTCTAGTACTAGT